CCCCCCCCCCCAGGTAAATAACTTTAGTACTTGGTCGTGATAATCCATTGAGATACATACTTGTTTAGGGGTAAATTACATAGTCTGCATAAAACATAGATGAGAACATATGATTTATATCATGAGTTTGCTATTGGTTTCATTTCCTGTTGATAGAGTGTAGCTATTTTAGCGATGTAATGCTATTATCGGCCTAGATTTTGTTTGCCCCGGTCTGAGATTTACAGGAGCGTAGCATTACCCGGTGTGGCTAAGCGCATTTTTTGGGAGTTCAATTAGTTCGGCTGGCCAACATTCCTTCACGGTTGACCAAAACAACTCGTCCCTGTGTCTGTGTACGCTAACTCGAAACACTACATTTCCTCCAACCCACAGGGGATAATAAAACGAACACGCTTCAAATTGCACAAACTCTTCTTCGTCGCTGACTAAAACATTACCAAACTCACACAGAATTGCAATGCATTTTTGTGCATTTAAAATATTTCTGTACTTTTCTGCACATATAAGATTATCGGGAACAAATGTGTAATTACCTTGCCGCGCACTTCCTCCCTTTGCTCCAAGTTCCTCCTAACTGCCAATCTTCAACAAGTCGCTACTCTACAAATAAAAAAAACCCAACTGTTTCAGTAATTTCCCTATTTTCGACATCAACTAATAATACACAGCAAATAGCCGAAATAACAGTCCGTGCGTTCCTCCAACAGCGCCTTCCCTCACCTGTGTACAAACCACTAGTGTGGACCACGCCCCTCTATCGAAAGACGAACCGACGAGGATTTACCTGAACAGTTCGATACCTATAGCTACCTACCTACCTGGTCTTACAGATATACAGAGTGGGTCTACAGCGGGCGTAGCCTAGAGAGCTGTGACGAGATGGAGTGTTATTAGGCGGTGATACATTCTTCAAATATTTGGCTGCGGGGGAGACAACTAGTCCCTGTCTGTTTGCACACGTGAGTGGGAGTATGTTGATTCATACTTACACATTGTATGCATAACCGCAAGGTATGGTGACCAGCAAAGTCCGGTCTAAGTCGACGTAACTTCGAGAACAGTTATGGAGTAAAATACATCCTCAGTGACAACCTATGTGTATATACTACAGTCTTCGCCTATTAATCACTATAGTTAACAGGCTCGTTAAGCGTTATGAGTCTCATGAAATGGAAGATGCCTTTATATCGCACAAGAAAGTGTTTTATCTTTATATCCATCCTATATGCATTGAAACCTGAAAGTTGTATTTTTTCGTTCACCAGTCCACAGTAGTAAAGACGTAGAGCGGCTATAAGTAGACAATGTCTACTCCAAAACTAAATCTTATTAGATAATAAAGTGGGTTTTTTTAAACTGGAAAGGTTTACTGACTGAAATAACATAACCGAATATCCTTATCGGACCTCTCTATTATCTTAACAACGTTTGGTTTGGTTTAAAAAAAATAACTTCCTATTTACAGTCAAGGTCATTAAAGGACGTGCCTCCATGTGTGTAGTGTATGCGAGCTTGCGTGTGTGTATTCAGTTGACAGGGTTTGTTGGTGTGCATGCCTCCTTGAGATAGCGCGGATCTGATGCCGACTCTGTAGTGCTATCCCACTGAAATAACACACGTCACGGTGTACTGGGTTTGCGATGTGAGAGGATTATTAAGAGATGAATCGAAACAACTTCACCCTTCAACTTTTCATTTTATTCTCGGAACAGGAAGTCAAACAACAAAACATAGAAACAAGATACGGAGACGGAATACAAAAATACACAAAACCGGTTAATTCCGGATATTCTATTGATGGTTATACTATAATATATACCATATGTATATAACAACGGGTAGATCTGTCGTAGTATGTTATATATACGTCACAGGTAGATCTGTCGTAATGTGTTATATACGTCACATGTAGATCTGTCGTAATGTGTTATATACGTCACAGGCAGATCTGTCGTAATGTGCTATATACGTCACAGGTAGATGTGTCGTAATGTGTTATATACGTCACAGGTAGATCTGTCGTAGTATGTTATATTCGTCACAGGTTGATCTGTCGTAGTGTGTTATATACGTCACAGGTATATTTGTCGTGGTGTGTTATATACGTCACAGGTAGATCTGTCGTAGTGTGTTATATACGTCACAGGTAGATTTGTCGTAATGTGTTATATACGTCACAGGTAGATCTGTCGCAGTATGTTATATTCGTCACAGGTAGATCTGTCGTGGTGTTTTATATACGTCACAGGTATATTTGTCGTGGTGTGTTATATACGTCACAGGTAGATCTGTCGTAGTATGTTATATTCGTCACAGGTAGGTCTGTCGTAATGTGTTATATACGTCACAGGTGGATCTGTCGTAGTGTGTTATACACGTCACGGGTAGGTCGGTAGTTGTGCGTTATATACGTCACGGGTAGGTCGGTAGTTGTGTGTTATATACGTCACGGGTAGGTTGGTAGTTGTTTGTTATATACGTCACGGGTAGGTCGGTAGTTGTTTGTTATATACGTCACGGGTAGGTTGGTAGTTGTGTGTTATACACGTCACGGCTAGGATGGTAGTTGTGTGTTATACACGTCACATGTAGGTAGGTAGTTGTGTGTTATATACGTCACAGGTGGATCTGTCGTAGTGTGTTTTATACGTCACGGGTAGGTCGGTAGTTGTGTTATATACGCCACGGGTAGGTTGGTAGTTGTGTGTTATGCCAGTATCTGGATGAACGCCAACATGCTTAAGCTTAATCAGGAAAAGGCGGAACTAATCGTCTTTTCCCTAAAGTGTCAGCAAACAATGGCTCTCCAGCTCAAGGTCGGTGCCAGAACTATTGAGACTGTTCCAGCTGCTAAAAACCTAGGGGTATACTTTGATAGTTCACTGAACATGGAGAAACAAGTGAACGCTATTGCCAAATCCGGTTACTACCAAATCAGGAACATCGGCTGTATTCGGCAGTTTATAACTGCAGATGCATGCAACCTTTTGGTGCATTCACTTGTTACCTCTCGGTTGGATTATGGTAACGCCCTGCTCTGTGGTATATCTGACAAACTAACTAGTCGTCTGCAGAGGGTTCAGAACACTGCAGCACGGCTAGTTACTCGTACTCGAAAGAGAGAGCACATCACACCTGTGCTTTATTCGTTGCACTGGTTACCTGTACGATACAGGTCGCAGTACAAAATTCTGGTGTACACATACAAGGCACTGAATGGAACAGCTCCTCAATACCTACAGGAGCTTGTTACCCTGTATCAGCCGTCACAATCACTGGGTCGGTGTCAGAATCTTTGTTGTGTGTCCAAAAATCTCGAACTGTGACCTACGGAAACAGATGCTTTGGGAGGGTTTCGACTACGTTGTTGAATAGCTAACCATCTGCTATTAGAAAGTCAAATACCCTGGCCAAGTTCAAGAGGGACATCAAAACTCACCTCTGCACGACTGCATTTTATAATCTTTGCAAAGCCGTCATGTATATACCACCCTTTTATTTGTTCAATTATGTGCACATTGCTTGCTAAAATGTATAAAAGTGATTGTAAGCCTTTGTTTTGTTTTGTTTTCACAATTATAACCATTACTATTATCCATATGTTATAAAACGCTTTAGAGTAATTTTACAAATTATATAGGGCGCTATATAAATGTTGTATCTTATTATTATTATCATTATACACCTCACAGGTAGGTTGGTAGTTGTGTGTTATACATGCACAGGTAGGTTGGTAGTTGTGTGTTTTAGTTGTACCTTTATGTTACGGTCGTACATACAAACGTTTTAGTTGTACCTTTATATTACGGTCGTACATACAAACGTTTTAGTTGTAAGTTTATGCTACGGTCGTACATACAAGCGTTTTAATTGTAAGTTTATGCTACGTTCGTACATACAAACGTTTTAGTTGTAATTTTATGTTACGGTCGTACATACATACGTTTTAGTTGTAAGTTTATGCTACGGTCGTACATACAAGCGTTTTAGTTGTAAGTTTATGCTACGGTCGTACATACAAGCGTTTTAGTTGTAATTTCATGTAACGGTCAAACATACAAACGTTTTAGTTGTAACTTAATGCTCCGGTCAAACATACAAACGTTTTCGTTGTACCTTTATATTACGGTCGTACCTACAAACGTTTTAGTTGTAAGTTTATGTTACGGTCGTACATACAAGCGTTTTAGTTGTAAGTTTATGTTACGGTCGTACATACAAACGTTTTGGTGGTAAGTTTATGTTACGGTCGTACATACAAACGTTTTAGTTGTAAGTTTATGTTACGGTCGTACATACAA